TCTGGGCCCATTGGCGGGAAAACCGTGAGGTACAGGTCAAAAGCGGGCACATCGGCCCAAAGAGGATGTCCGTGGCCACGATGTGTGGGTTGTGTATGGTGTTGCCTTGTATCTATAAGGGCTCCTGAAAGAAATAAACAAAGCATGGCCATTGGAGGAGACAGTGTAGGAGGGACTTGGCAGCGCTCTGGGGCCTCCTGACGACAAATATGGGGATGAGCAGGACCAGAGTCACATTGGCTGAATGCTGACAAAAAGACCAACACAATGATGTTTGACGAGCCTGGGTATTTTTTATGGTATGGCATTTCACCTTTCTCGCCTTTTTCATTTATTGTCACCTTTTTCACCATTTATTAAAAAACGCCAGGACTAATGAGAGAGAGAAATACCAGCACATCCCGTCCCGTGCTCGGTATGGATGTATGTGTATTTTCTGGGCCCAATCGGTCAAATTGTCAGAGCTAAAAGCTGTGAAATAGTCCAACCAGTATAACATGTCTGGGTTGAGCAAAAGGCGGCGACGCAGCAGGTCAGAGAACCATGCGAGACCAGCAGCACAGTGTTAGTCCCTCAGAGAGGTAGAAGTTTACACCCTTAATTAAATAAGCTTGACTTAGTTCTGGGTGGTGAGGGTGAGCTGCTGGTTCACAGTTTCAGAGCCTCTGTTTGGTGTTAGAGTGGCTGTTCAGGAGCACACAGTGGTAGACTCAGCAGGACATTAGCAGCAGAGGGTCCACAGACAGAGGGTCTTCCTGTGACCTTTATCTCAGACTGGGCTGCAGCTCCTCCCTCCCTCAGGAGCTCCAACATGAAACCAGTGGGTCCAGTCCACAGTTAAAGTCTGCGGTTTGTAGTTCTCACATTGCTCACATTGCTCATTAATGAGGACACAAATTGCCAGCTTTCTGCTTCTTTAGTGACAAAGGCTGAGCTGCTACCCCTGCAAAGGCTGCCAGCAGGGGGAGCAAGCTGATAACAGAGAACCAGGCTGCCAGCAGGGGGAGCAGGCTGCCAGCAGGGGGAGCAGTTCTTCCACCAGGGGGCAGCCTGCCTCCACCTCTGGAAACAGCCCAGAGCTGCTAAAGTCCAGAACCTGGAGCCTGAAACCAGAGGTTTTCTTTAAAAACAGAGACCAGCAGAGACCTGAAGCTGCTGTGTGGGTCTGGTCTGCACACAGACCTCCGCCTGGGCTTCAGGAAGACCTCAGAGTCATGTGACTTCTGAGGAAGGCGCCAAGAGGAAGGACCCGCCCCCCCCCTTTAGTTTGCATATAAAGCTCCACCACCGTACAGCTCGTCCAATCAGACGTCTGCTCTGAGTTCGCATCTGGATACAGTAAAATTCTTTCAGAGGCCAAACCAGGAAGTCTGTGCTTCTGTTTCTGCTCGGGGCTGAAAGACGAAACGGGAGGGGGAGGGGAACTCATTCTGTGTGACGCAGAGAAAACTAACTTAGAGAGGCAAAAAAACTCCCTTTAATCATAAAGTTTCCACTTTAATTCACAAATTTTACTTTTTTAAATCATAAATTCTCCCCTTTTATTTTTAAAAACTCCCTGTTTATCATAAAGTTTCCACCTTAAATCATTAAACCTCCTCTGTAAATATTATATTTCCTATCTAAAGCATAATTTCTCTCCTTTAAACCATAAATGTTCCTCTTTTATTCATGAATTCTCCCCTTCAATTCCTACAGTGTCCGTGTACGGCTGGACCTGTTCCTCTCTCAGCGTGAGTCGGGCCGTCTGCTTTGACCTTTGACCTCTCAGGTCAAACACAGAGCTGTGTGTGTGGGGGGGGGGGATTGGGGGGTTTCCAGACGTGAGTCGGTGTGTCCAGGTGTCCTTTGGGAGGACTTTAGCTGCTTCAGTCTGACAGGAACAGACACAGAATGGTGGAAATCTGCTCTGAGCCCACAGGAGCAGTTCTTCCAGCAGGGGGGGCAGTTCTGCCTGCTGGGTAAGTCTCAGCGCCCACGTTACAGAGACTGGAAACAGCTTTTCTGTGTTCAGACCAGCTAAAACCAGCTGTATGTGTTCAAATCAAATAAATACAGCTGTTTGGGTTGAAACCAGATGTTTTTAGTTCAAACCAGCAGTCTTTGTGTTACTAGCTTTTTTCAGGAAGCCGCTGAGTCATGTGACTTCTCATAAACGGCTGCTCCCAGCCCTGAGGGAGGGAGTTTCTGCCCGACCGGTCCTGAGTGCAGACAAAGACATTTGGTATGTCAACAGCCGCTCCCTTTACTGAGAACAGAGAGACAACCACACTGGAGAAACATTCTGAATATCTGTTCTGAGCACACTGAAAACAGCCCACAGTAAAGACACAGAAATAACACAGTAAACACACAATAAAGAACAGTAAACACACAGCAAACACAGAAATAATACAGTAAAAACACAGCCAACACACAGCAAAACACACAGTAAAGACACAGATATAATACAGTAAACACACAATAAAGAACAGTAAACACACAGCAAACACACAGTAAACACACAATAAACACAGTAAACCCACAGAGAACACACAGTAAACACACAGCAAACACACAGCAAACACACAGTAAACACACAGTAAATACACAGTAAACACACAGTAAACACACAGCAAACACACATTAAACACACAGCAAACACACAGCAAACACACAGTAAACACACAGCAAACACACAGTAAACACACAGTAAACACACAGAAACACACAGTAAACACACAGCAAACACACAGTAAACACACAGCAAACACACAGTAAACACACAGAAACACACAGTAAACACACAGTTAACACACAGCAAACACACAGCAAACACACAGTAAACACACAGCAAAC